CGTATGTTCATTATCTGCCACTTGTTTGTTAGTTTGTCCTATTGTGGTGGCTTATGTGTTGCTTGGATGATGGAAATGATGTCATGGTTATTTTCAAATATGAGGAGGATCACCCAAAGCATACAGGGTTCAACAGAACCTCCAGATTAAGAAAACCCCACCAAGAAGGCCTAGGGATACAACACGGAAAACCTAATGGATGGGAGCAGAACATTGTCAGACTGAGAGCTTCGTCAGCAGAAGCAGAATATTGTCAGACAGTGCCAGAAGATGAGTCTCTCATGTCGGTGGGAACTCCAAATTGACCGAGGAAAATCTGCCTCCTCAAAGTTGAGTTCACCAGACAGATGTGGATGGAATAATGACTTTGAAACATTCGTTGATAGGTAAACATCTCAAAATGAAAAGAAACAGCTGAAAAGACTTCAATTAACAACTGGAAGTTGGAATGTATGAAGTATAAATCTAAGAAAACTGGAAGTCAATATAAATGAAATAAAACACATCATTGATATCTCGGTGTTAGTGAGCTAGACTTGGTTGGTATTGTTTATTTTGAATCAGAGAATCATTCAAGAAAATGGATTGCATTCATTGTCAAAGAGTAAATTTCAAGCTCTATCTTGCAGTCCAATGCTGTGTGTAATAGAATACTATCTATCCACACACACACAAATCCAGTTAACACAATTATTATTCACATTTATGCACTACTCACTAAAACTAAGAATGAAGAAATGCAATAATTCTATCAATGTCTTCAGCCTGGAAATGATCAAATACACAGTCAAGATATATTGATAATTATTGGTTATTGGAATGAAAAAGTTGGAAACAAAGAAACAGGAACAGAAACTGGAAAATAAGGCCTTGGTGATAGAAATGAAACTGACCATCACATGATAGAATTTTACAAAGCCAATAACTTCTTCATCATCACAAACAACGTTTTTTTCAACTACACACAAAAAAAACACTATGCAGGTAGATGTCTCCAAATGGAAAACAGAACAATCAAATTGACTACATCTGTGGGAAGAAATGATGGAGAATTTCAATATTAGCACATAAAACCAGGCCAGGGCCCCTCTGTGGAACAGACCATCAATTGCTCATATGTAATGACTTAAGGAATGACAGATGGAATGTAAAGAAAATGAAACAAGTCATGGAGAATCAAAATACATGTGAAAGTTGAATATTGAATAAGGAAGACTGGGGGAGAATTAATGCATTTGAATTATAGTTCTGGAGAAGAATATTGAAAGTACCGTGCTCTGTTGAAAGAACAAAAATAACGCTCTTGGAAGAAGTATAGCCAGAGCACACCTTCAAAGCAAGGATGGGGAGACTACATCTCTTGTATTTGGGGGATGATATTAGAAGAGACCAGTTCCTGGAGAAGGGCATCATGGCTGGTCAGTAGAGAGGTCAGTGAAAAAGAGGAAAACCCTTGGCAAGATGGTTGACACAGACTGCAACAATGGACTCAAACACAGGAACCCTTGTGAGGCCGGTGCAGGACCAGGCAGTGTCTCTTACCATTGTATAGGCTGTCACTCGGAGTTGACTCATTTGCAACTAATGAACTCATTGGCACCTATAACCACAACAACATGGTCTCTGTGAGTTAGAATCAACTTGATGAAACCTTGGTTGATGTTTGGTTAATGATAGTATAGATGGCGAGGATAGGAGAGAAAGTCATTTCTTTGGAAATCACTTAATCTAGTGAGATCCTGGGATATTACATTAACTTTCCTAAACTTTGTTTTCCCCATCTGAAAAGCAGAGTCAAGTATATTACTTCTGCCTGCTTCATAAAGATCGAGCATCTACCAGAATGGGAATAAGTAATTTTATTAAATAAAAATCTTTTTGTACTTAGCATAAAGAGCTGCAAGATTTTAGTAGCAGAAATTTGGAAAATACCCAAGAAAATGAAATTTGGTTTATTGGTATATTTTTCGGCAATTGTTTTCTGATCACCATGAACCTACAAATAGTTGTTTTCTCATTTGCCAATTGATGATTTTTACTTGAGCTCGTTTTCTTTAAATTCAACAGATAGCTACCAAAAAAGGATACCATATATACTCGTATAAGTCAAGTTTTCAGCACATTTTTAGTGCAGTTTCAGTGGTAAAATTAGGTGCCTTGGCTGATATTTGGGTCAGCTTATACTCAAGTATATAGGTATATAGCTATAGATGTGTGTATTATATTACATATATTTAATATATACACATATATGCATTTTGTATATGTGTTTGTGTGTGTATACACACGCATGTGAGTTCCCCTTCAGACCATACTACCAAGGGACAGTTTAGGTTTAACTGGTGAAGAACAGGCACAAGCATGGACGTCATCTACTTCTGATCTTCATCAAATACTATAACTCCACCTGGATGATCTTCAAGATGTTTCCTTTCAGAAAATTCTTGAGAACTTTGGTTGCCAAATTGCTCAGTCTGCTGATATATATGGGACAATAAC